TTGCAATTAATTTGGGATAAAGCCGTACAGAAAAGGGATGGATGGATGGATGGAATCGTGATTAAAAACTTAAATAATTGGGCAGAAATACTTTAACCGCTAGGATTACATGTCCAACATTGAATATTTAAGCGTATAAAAGCTAATAATCTCATTTTAAATCAATGCTTAGCTTTTATCTGGAAAACAATTGAATTCAACAAACTATTTTATGAGCCTGAACATGTGTACCAGAATGCTGATTTTAGCTTCCATTACCTGCATTTTTCTGTCAAATCTCTTTATAAAGCTTGACCATTTGTCCGTATTCTCGTTATTTTTTTCAGGCTCACGTGACTTTTTTAACCGATAGGTCATGTGATATGACGATAGAACAGTGCTCTGGGTTGCAAATGGTCTGAAACGTTGTTCATGTTAACAGTAAATCAATCTGGTCATATCGACTAAATGCTTTCATCTTATTTCCACTTATACTGTACACGACACAGTTTTTAAGATTCAAGAGCATCAGAGTACATCCACTCAGCTCTTCCCAGTAATATTTTCTGAAAACAAAGACCTTTCTCTGAGGTCCTGAAGTTCATGAATGTAGACTTTTATTATTTTTTTGTTGACAATGACACAGCTTTAGTACTTCGAGAGTGCGCAAACACTCATTTGTCACAACTGAAGTCAGAATGCAAAGAGAATCACAACAGTCGACATCTCGATCGGCCTCTCAAAACTATTTTACAATCCTAAAGTTTGCGTCTGTGCAAATATAACAAAGCACGTGCCGACTATATCCAAGCCGGCCAAGAGCAGACCAAATAATACCAAAACACAACATTTTGTTTGTTTGGATAGAGATGCTTTCAGAAGATTGCATCATTCTGAGGATGACCTGTGTCAAAAGACAAAGATCTCTGGGAATGGAAGTCCACACTGTCGATATCTCTAAAGAGAATCCTTCATTTGTTTTTGTAATGCAGACAGTTAAGATTAGGAGAATGTTGTGAGATTTGACGGTTCCCTGGTTCCCTACCATGTGCTGATTCCTGGTAAAAGAGTGTGACGAAGCCTTCCTTCCTTGGAGACACCATCACCATATGACATAACACATGAGGGATTCTGGCTCTTAACTCTGTGCCCTTTTGGAAATGTGCATTCGTTACTTTAGAATAAACTTGGGATGATTTATTTTGGGACTGCGTAGTAGCAACTGTTGACACGTGAAAGGAATCTGTCCCATGGCTGGCTTTGGCTGCTATTACGTAATGATTGGACCTGGTTTATCTAGTACTGAGGCTGGGCCCGTCTTTTTTATTCCACGACGTCTGATGGGGATGGGGACGGGGGGTGTCGTAGGTGGCCGTGGCGCAGCTGGCCGGTCAGCGGAGTGGGACAGAGAGATTGTGTGCGAGTCAGCACGTTACATAACCGGGCGCTTTGGGCCCGCAAGCTGTCCTCCTGCTACCGATACAGTGAGGTCACAGAGAACAGGCTAGATGAGGCCAGCATTCATTTACACTACGTTGTGTTTTGTGTTTTTTTCTTCTCTCCGCTGCAAACGCGGAACAAAAGGGAGGCTGTTTATTCACCGCCCAGCCGATGATGGCTTCCAACCGTTTGACTCTTTTGTTTGGAGCCTGGTCATCAGTCCAATAGCTAACGCGCTTCCCCAGAACAGCCGGGATGCTTCCCTGCTCGCTCTTCTTTCTCTGTCAGTGTCATTTGTGCCCTACAGGGAACTAAGAGTCTTTAAGACAACATTTAACAACCAGCTAGCACAAAATACAACTTTTAGTGTCTTATTGTGAGAAATCCTGTACAATTAACCACATATATAATTCTAAATTCTGTTATATTAGATTATTTTTCAGTATATTATATGACATTCTTTTATATCATATCATATCATATCATATCATACCATATTATATGATATTATACTATTATTTTTTCATTTAGCAAACAGTTCTGCTCGTGAACAAGTACTTTTGAGTCCCCAGCACTTTTGAATCAGCTTATTCCTCTGAGCATATCTGGCCAAGTGTTTTCCATTTTGTTCATTTCCGATTCATTAATCCCAGTCTCCCCAGTAGCTCCACAAACCTGCAACACAAGAATGTGGAGAGGCGAATGGCACTGGGCGTTCGTAGCAGGTGGAATAAGAGAGGAGGAGGTACAGAGAGGAGGAGGTACACTCAGGCTGTTGGGGTTAAAAAAGCTAGAGATGAGAGGAGTGTTTCTCATCTGAGACAAAAAATGTACACAAAAAAGTTCAGCACACAATAATGGAGACGTGAAGCAGTGATGAGAGAAGTTGTGTCTGTTCTTTCTTCAGAGAATGTTTTAAATTTAAGGCTGCAGTAGATATCCAGAAATAATACCAATGATGACAATAATAATAGTAATAATGTAGTAATAATAATAGTAAAGTAATAGTAATAGTAGTAACAATAGTAGTGTAATAATAATGTAGTAATAATATATTGACAATGTAGTAATAATGCATTCATAATGTAGTAAACATAGGAACAGGGGGCTGGTTCCTTCGTTGACATAGCTATTCTATCTAAAAGACCGATTTTATATTCAGAAAACATAAAGGTATGAAGGTTTGTCCTAACAAAAATCAACCTTAATGCTCAGGGATGGAATTTTTACATCTGAGGTCATTTTAAAGTTTGTGTTTCTACTGTACAATAAGTTCCTAGTAACGTCTTTGATAAAGCGGTGAAATGACACATATTCTGTTTTAATTGTATTGTATTTTGAGCCCCTTATGCCCCCATGACTTCAGGATGTTTGAGAGATGGGTCATACTTATCCAAAGGTCCCCTTTACAGCGTAAACAGTTGCTGATTTAAATAATATGTGTGTGTGGAATGGTGCAAAAAACTTTTGGTAAATTATTTGGAACTTAGTCTGTGCTTTAATCAAGTAAAGTTGGTTGTAAAGATCGGACACGGCTTAGGTTTTAATTCTAACACCTATAGATTGGCCAGATTATTGTGTGCTTTGGGATGAAACCTGTTTCAGAGTTTGATAAACGAGGTGTTTCATGAGTGTTTTATAAATTAAAGTAAACCACTTGCCACATTCAGTTATCTATTTCTAGTTTTGGGGTCTTTGGAGAAAAATGATCCCGTCTGATGTCACTGGCTGTGAAACAGACCACAAAATCTCCTTGAATTGATAATGAGCTACATTCATTTTCAAGGAAAAACATAATGAATTGCTTTTTATTTCTGCCAAGATATTATCTGTTCCACCAGATCAGTACCAAGTTGGAAATTGAATGAAATGTAAAGAAGAGACACATAAAGATAGAAAAGAGAAAGGTTGGCAATAGGGCTTTTTTTATTTTGAATGAATGTGCATATATTTATGTCTTCTTGATTATGGGACTCTTGCCAAAATCTTTCTCCAGGTTTCTCAGAGACATGATGAGATGGAATCTTTTAACACATAAATTAAACCTTAACTGAAAGGCAATCTCTTAAATTGATCATTTCTAAACAAAAAAACAAAATCTGTAGGTGCATCATTCACCATTATGATAATAAGTGAGCTTTTTTCACACATTCCCTTTTAAATAACCAGCTCTATGGGTATTCATAGTCTATTTCTGTTTATTTATTCGAGTAAATGGTTTTGGAGCTGTTGCCCCAGCTGATGGATGTATCTTGATTGCGATCTCCTCCTCAGACTCAGGGACATAAATGTAGCATCTTGCTATAAAATCAAAGCCTCCCCAAGATATTCAGTCATCATTGTCCCATTTTGCATTTCCGATTTATTAGTTAAGATTAAGATGAACAATAAAACTCAGTCGTTCATACCCATCTCTTCAACCAGGAAAGAAAACGTGTTTAGTTTTTCTTGGTATTGAAATCTATTCAGTACACATTTAAATTGAGATGATTGTAGCTGTATTTATACTGTTAGTCTGAGGTGTGCACAGATGGAAGGCCCTTCTGTCCCTTCGGTGTCCCTGAACATCTTCTCTGACGCACAATCTTGTTTGCCAGATAGCCAATCATCAAAGTCACTGCTGTGGCATGAAATCCTATTTCCTGAAGGTTCTCACCTATTACCGCAGGCTGAGTTACATTAAAAGTATTGCAGGAATCCAAGAACATTATCCTCTAGGTCTTAGCTGCTTTTTCTTAAAAAAAGGGGCCTTATTGGTGCGGGTAGGTGACACCATCTCCACCTCTGATACCAGGATGGTGACAAAAGCCACTGCTGGTCTTCAAAGGGCTTCATCTGCTTACTTTGCTGACACTTTAGAAGTGAAGCAGAGAAGGTATGAGGTCCATGAAGACTTTTTTCCCAGCCTGAGCACCTTATAGAAAGCACTTGGGAGAATTTGACTTTTGTGTCCGTGCAAATGCGGTTTTAATACTAATGTTTCAATGTCATGGCACGGTGGTGTGGTGGTCAGCTCCAGGGCCTCACAGCCAGAGGGTTCTGGGTTGGAGTCCCGGGGGAACCAGGAACCTTCTGCCAGAGGGTTCTGGGTTGGATTCCCCGGGAAACCAGGAACTTTCTGCCAGAGGGTTCTGGGTTCTAGTCCCGGGGGAACCAGGACCAGAGGGTTCTGGGTTGGAGTCCCGGGGGCACCAGGACCTTTTTACCAGAGGGTTCTGGGTTCTAGTCCCGGGGGAACCAGGACCTTTCTGGGTGGAGTCTGCATGTTCTCCTGTGTCTGTGGGTTCTCTCCGGGTTCTCTGGCTTCCTCCCACCCTCCAAAAACCTGCATGTTAGGTTGGTTGGACTCCAAACTGCCCTTAGTGTGAGTGTGTGTGGTTGTTGGTCTTTGTGTGTCTCTGGGTGGCCTTGCGATTGGACTGGGGTCCACTGGGGTCCGTCCAGGGTCCACCTCTTGCCCATTGACCACTTGACCCCCATTGACCACCATTGACCATAAACGGTTATGGAAATTGATGGATGTTTCAATGTCCTCACCATAATCTTGCGCCAACGGGCTTTCTCTTTGCACCTTTGTCTCCAGGTTCCCAATGTTGAACATGTCCAGCCCCAGTGAGTTGAAGAATCCCTGCGTGACTCGCAACGGCTTGGTGAAGCTGCCCCCCAGCCAGCCCAACGGCCTGGGCAGCGCCAGCATCACCAAGGGGACGCCCGCTGCTAAGAACCGCCTCTGCCAGTCCTCCACAGTGCCCTCCATCCTGCCGCCGCCGCCCACCTCCCTGGCCTACCACCACCACCGCCATTTGGACGGGCCCGGCAAGCCCCACCCCGCCTCCCCGCTCCTGCCCTCCGACCTGGAGCCGGGGAAGCCCCTGGTGAGCCTGAAGCCCGCGCTGCGCCAGCTCCCCCCCCTCACCCTGCCCAAGCCCCTCCTGCTGGAGCGCCAGCTGGTCCTGGACGAGAAGCTGCTCAACCGGCTGCTGTGGTACTTCACCACGGCCGAGAAATGCCTGCTGGCGCAGGTGTGCAAGACCTGGCGCAAGGTGCTCTACCAGCCCAAGTTCTGGGAGGGGGTCACGCCCATCCTGCACGCCAAGGAGCTGTACACGCTGCTGCCCAGCGGGGAGAAGGAGTTCGTCAGCCTGCAGGCCTTCGCCCTGCGGGGCTTCCAGTCCTTCTGCCTGGTGGGGGTGTCGGACCTCGACATTTGCGAGTTCATCGACAACTACCCCCTGTCCAAGAAGGGCGTGCGCTCCGTCAGCCTCAAGAGGTCGACCATCACAGACGCCGGTTTAGAGGTAAGCCGGCGGGATTTCCTCTGTCAGTGGGACTCTTCAGTTCACGCCTAGACTGGCGGTGTTTCACCAATACGAGCAAAACGGCGTCTCGAGAAGTGTAAGGAAGAGTCGGCACAAGAGTAAAAACAAGGTTTTTGGCTTTTGTTCTATTTCTTATTTAACTTGAAGCGTCTCTGGGTCTTTGAAAAGCGCTGTATGAATTCAGTGAATTATTGTCATCGTTACGGTTACAGTGGAACTGAAAATTCATGGCTGAATGTGAGCTGTCATTGGGAGACTAGATTTGATTTATGATTTTTCCTGTTCAAGAGAAGTGGATGCCTTAACCTCCTGAGAGCTCAGCTGTTATCTGGTTCTGCTCTGTTCCAGATCTCTGGATCAGTAGGAGCTGATAAGTTTAAGAACTAGACTTTGTCCTGGTACAGGTAGTTTTTCTTCATAGAGGCTCAGTGGGTTTATCTTTAGATTTAAAATGTTTGTTTAGACATTTGATTCAATTTGGTTCTGAGGTTCCAAATGACTTATTTACAACATTTTAATTCCACAATAAGAACATGATTGGTGTAAAATGTCTAAAAGCATTTTCCTTTAGATTTCAAACAGTCGTGTCTGATAGTGTCTGCTATGAGGCCAAGAGGTCAAAGGTCAAAGAAAAAAGAAGGATCCTGGTACACAGAGGCAGAATTGCAGTGTCCTCACAGGGGGACGTAGGGTCTCAGGAGGTTAAAGGTCATGGAAGAGGCACATGCGTAATCAAAGCATCTGCATAAGTACGTTTCTATATTTAATTCTGTTTTCAAGCTATCGTATTTCATCTCTGTGAATAAAAAGGAAAACTCACAGCGTTTAGCAGAAAGCCTCTCCTAACCGGTTAAGCTAGGCTGCTATTCTGGGACGAGTGGTCGGTTGCCATAGAGAAAGCCGGAGTCGTTGGCAGCATGTTCTATATATGGACGTTCCTGTTTTGAGGTGCCGATTTTTGTGCCTTGCCATTTCGCTTCGCTTACATGAGGATTCTCATCTGAAAAAGAGGGGTAGAAAAGGTTTGACATCTCTGATAGACTGAAAGCTAAAAGAGTCGATCATGAAGGGGATAATCAAGATTGAACCATGTCTCATGACTCACCCTTTTATAAGTAGTTTTCTTTGAATGTTTTTGATTTTGTTTGAATATTTGTTTTCATATTGCCCAGACGAAGCTTGGACATAAGTGGTGTGAATGATTGCGACTCAGTTATTTTGATGTCTATATATTTATTTTATCCATCACATATCTGTTTGCAGTTTAACTACATTTTGGACAATATACATTTTCATATTAAAAAGCATGTGGGAAAATTTTAAGTGGATTTTAAATTAACCCAAAAGCTTAAGAAAAGTGTCTGGCTTTCACATGTACTAACATTTCATGTTTTTGTTTTAATTTGCTTTCACACATTTTTCTGCATGTTTTCAACAAACAGATACTTCAAAAGCAGACATGTTTTCTCATATTAATTATTTTACTAGAGACATCAGCTACATGTTCATTCTCACCGGCTGATAATTCAAAGCTGTCTGAGCCAAAACTGTGCGCTGACTTGGAAACACTGCAGACTGCAGACTGCCCCGTTGCACATTATCACCACGACTAATGAATTCTCACTTAAACTAAAAGCCTGTCACAAACCAATTGACTGCAAATACTAGGTGCTAAAACTACACTCAATTAAACTGCTCACTTGTAAGTTTATTTGGAAAGAAGCTTGCAAATGCCCTGTAGCAGGATAAAGATATTAAACAACCGATTCCACCCACAGAGAGGGTGGTGTCAGCACTACCAGAATAAGCCTGGAAGCCCTGGTGTGTCATACTGCGCATTGTGAGGAAAACATGCTGTATCAAAGCCTATTTGGACCAATGCTGTGTCTTTTGCATAGTTTTTGCAGGTGAGGGAAGAAAGTGTAAAACTCCCTTTCAGAAGGTCCACACAAACATAAAAACAAGAGAAAATGTCATAGTAAAAGCAGTCAATAAGCACAGGAAATTCATATTTTAAGCTTTTGTAAAGCATAGTTCCCTTTAAAATTGAAAAATATTGACATATTTGGAATATAAACCAATGTCTATGAAGAATTCTCTAATTCAAGTGCCTTGTATGTCAGGAATACAACACAATCATAGTTTCTGAAGTAGTCAGGTTAATGAAGTCCCAAACTTAAGCTCAAGCCATGTTGCTTTACCAAATTATCAAAAAGGTATTTTATATGTAAAAAAAAAAAGCTTTTCACTTTGAAAACCCAAACCAAGACTTTTTATTTTGCAAATATGCAATCGAAGAAAGGTTCTAAAAATAGGAGAAAAAGTGCTAATGACATGATTTACCAGAGTGCTAACCAGTATAACCAGTAAGTGCCTGTAACTTGGTCAAAAATCAATTTAAAAGAATTAAAAGAATTGTTTACAATGCATGTTTTCAGCAAAAAATAAAAAATAAAAAACAGATTCAGAGAGCGGAGAGACCTTGTGAAAAAAAAAGGCACATTATATAAAAAATAACACTCAGATAAATCAAAGGGCAACATTTCATCCTGGGAGCTGGGTTTTGTGGATCAGCTGATGGAAAACAATAAGAGCTGATTATGAAAGAATACTCACAGTGGACGGGATGAACTTTTGATGAACTTTTTGAAAATGCCTGGTCATCACAAATCCTAAGGCTGGATAACAAAACACAAGCACGAGATAGACAGATAGATAGATAGATAGATAGATAGATAGATAGATAGATAGATAGATAGATAGATAGATAGAT